GTAACATACACACAAAAATTAGCAAAATGATAGATGATCTTACCTACTGTAGCTACTGTAGCTGAGGCTGAAGAGAGTAAGGACTTGCCCCAGCTGCCCCAATATCCCCAACCGGTCTGAGGCACATCTTTGGAAACAGTCTCCTATTCTTCCCAGTAGGCAGAAAAACAAAAGGCAAAAGAAAAGGGAAAAAGTAGAGAATAAGAGAGTGTACAGACAAGGTATCTAATTATTAGTCCAAAGTACAGGTGAAGAAATACCTATCATTAAGCTAAAGAATTATATTGCTTGCCTGACAGATGTTATGTCACCTGCATTTAAGCACCATGTAGCAAAGGCAACTACTCATAGTCATTTCTAAAACTGAGAAAATTGTGTTTTATGGATTTTAAAAGAAAAGAAATAGATACAATCTTAAATTGGTTTTGGTTCCAAATTCCTTTTAACCCTAACTTTTAATCCCAGTGTTTTAATAGATACTCTACTTTGCCTACAGCCTGTGATGCCTCAACAGGGAGAATTTCTGAAGTCTCAAGGTCACTGGAAGGTTTGGACTCTGGTCTTTTCCGAGTGATAGCTACAGGTTCGGATTTACTCTCTGGCTTGGCACTTTGGTCAACAGACTCAGAATTCTTGGCTGGTTCACAGTTCCCATCTCCAAGAGTGGAGGATGCTTCAGTTATCACTGGAGTCTCAATATCATCTTTCTCTGACATGATTAGATCATTGCCTGGTGAAAAAAAGTCAAAGAAAAAAATTAATCTTACAGGCTTTTTTGCTGTAAGTTATATAAGCTATTTATTTTGAGATTATCATAGAGTCACATGCAGGTGTAAGAAATACAGACAGTTCTGTGTATCTTCCACCCGGTTTCCTCCAATGGCAACGACTTATGTAACTACAGTGGAATATGACAACCAGGAAACTGACACAACCCACTGACCATCTTCAGACTTCATCAGTTTCATAGGCACTTATGTATGGTTACTTAGTTCTGTGAAATTTTATCACACATATATAGATTTGTGTGACCATCACCACACTAAAGATACAGAACAGTTCAATCACAAGGATCCCTTGTGTTGTCCTTTTTCAGCCACATCCCTCACACCCCCCCCCGCCGCCCACCACCAACCCACAGCAACCACTAATCTGTTCTCCATCTCTATACAAGATGTCATATAAACGGATTCATACAGTATGTAACCTTTTGAGATCAACTGTTTTCACTCAGCATAAGTCCCTCGAGATCCATCCAAGTTGTTTTATCTATAGTTTCTTCCCTTTTTTGCTGAGCAGTATTCCTTGGTAGGGATGTATTTCAGTTTGTTTTACCATTTACCCACTGAAGGATATCTGGGCTGTTCCCAGTTTGGGGCTATTACAAATAAAATGGCTACGTACATTAACATACAGGTTTTTGTGCAATATAAGCTTTCATTTCTCTGAAATAAGTGACCAAGAGTGCAACTTCTGGATCATGTTAAGTACTTGTTCAGTTTTTTAAGAACTGCCACTCTTTCCATTTTACATTACCATCAGTGATGTATGAGTGATCAAGTTTCTCAACATTCTCACCAGCATTTGGTGGGTTGTTTTTTTTTTTCCTTTTCTGAGCCATTATGACAGGTGTGTAATAATAATCTCACTGTGGCTTTAAGCTGTATTTTTATAATGGCTAATGATACAGAACATCTTCTCATATGCTTATTTGCCATCTGTATATCCCCTCTAGTGAAATACCTATTTGTATCTTTTGCTCATTTTCTTTGGGGGTTTTGTTTTTTTCTTTTGTTTTGTTTTATTACTGCTTTGAGAGTTCTTTATATACTCTAGATTCAAGTCCTTTGTCAGATATGTGGTCTGCAAATATTTTATCCCAGCCTATAGCTTCTCTTTTCATCTTCTTCACAGGGTCTTTCACAGAGCAAAAGTTTTTCATTTCAATGAGGTCCAATTTATCAATTTTTCCTTTTATTGACTGTCATTAAAAAATCTTAGTCATTATTTCTACCTCAATTTATAAATTATAAAATTTAAGCCATCAGATAGAATCTAAATCAAACTAGCTTTTGAGCAGCAATGTTAACCAATTCAGTCCCTACCATAAGTACAGCTCTTCAGCAATTAAAGCCAAGATACCACTGGTGTTTTTACAAGAGGCATATGCTGGTTTCCAAGATAACCAAGTAGAGGAGAAATAAAGATAACCAGAGGAGAAATAAATGTATATATACCAAAGCCTTAGGTATATATAAGCATTTATTTTATACCAATATTTACCAAGTGCAGAATTAGACCCAATTCAAGCCATCAAATGCTTCCAATGTACAAGAGAAAGTCATATTAAGAACTAAGGCAGCTTGGCAGGTGCACCGGGGTAGTTCAGTCAGTTAAGCATCTGACTTTTGATATCCACCCAGGTCACAATCTCAGGGCTGTGAGAGCAAGCCCCGCATCAGACTCCATGCTGGGTGTGGAATCTACTTAGGATTCTCTCTCCCACTCTCACCCCTGCCTCTGCCTCTGCCTCTGCCTCTGCCTCTCCCTCTCAAAAAAAAAAAAAAAAAAAAAGACCTAAGGCACCTTGGAAACAGCACTATCAGTGAGGTATATATAAAATGCTAAAAGAACAGAGAAGAAAAACTCTGCTGGGATCAGAGAATATGATTCATGCACAAAGTATCTGAAATAAACATAGAATAGTGGCCACAAACTGAGAATGTGACTGCTAAATCCAGCCTTTAAATGTTATTTGGCCTGCACAGTGTTTAAACTTTTATATTCATTGCTAACATTTAAAAACCAGACTTCATACATGAATAGATTTTCAACTTCTCTAGTAAAGTTGAAATATCTGGTGACACTGGGCCCACTTTTAACATGGTAATAATTAGCCCAAACCAAAGAGTTGCTGGGCCTTTTTAGGCAGGATAATGTTCTCTATAATCTCCACCTAAATCTACTTGACTCATATGTTACCTTATTAGCTAGCCCCTGTATACAGTTGAGCTTGCAACACCTGTCTTAAAGGGCCCTTGGGATTTTGACAGGTAAAGGAGCCAATGAGAAAATTCAAAGGTGTGGAAACAAAACATGGGAAGTGTGAATGGAATGGACAGACATGGAATATCGAAAAATAACAGTAGTTAATATAGCAGGGAGAATAACAAAAAGGCATAAGGCTAGAAAGGTAGATTTACACACCATGGAGCCTAGATCATATGGATATATGGTATACATACATTATACATTCCCAAAACACACAGAAAAAAAATTCAGATGCAACTACCCACACACAAGCAAACTCTGAAATATTCATTCATTTGCAAACATTTTTTGAATACCTACTATGTACCAAGTTTTGGAGATTGAGAATTTTTTTATGACACAATTTCTGCCCCATTTACTCCAAGAACCTAATAGGAAAGACTACACAGTTCTTGCACAAAGTTCAATCAATGTTTTGTGTGGCTAAATAAATACGTACTTTTTTTACACTATCATTTTACTTACTTTATATGCGCTTTCCAAATTACAACACATAATAATACATATTTTATAAGCAGTATACCATATACAGCAGTCCCCTTTATCTGAGGTTTTCAGTTACCTGTGGCCAACCAGTCTCGAAGCAAATGATTCTCTTTCTGAGGTGTTGTCAAAAGGTCAACAGTAGCCTAATGCTACAGCACAGTGCCTACATCATTCACCTCACCTCATCTCACCACACAGGCATTTTATAATCTCTCATCTTGGAACATATCACCGGCAGATGCGGGGCAACTACTATATAGTATGTATAATAAACATATTACATAAGTAATTCATATAGTTTTATAAAAGGCTGGAAGGACATATTTCAAAATATTAAACACTGGGTCTACTCTTTCATTTGTGCAACAAAGATTTAATGAGCATCTAGAATGTGCTAGACATTTGGCTAGGTGGAAAGGTGGTGGCTGTTCATATTCTCATTACCATCACTTTCATCATTATAATGGCTGTGCTATCCCTGCTCTCAGTGGATTCACACTTCAACAGGAAAAGCAAAAAAAAAAAAAAAAAAGGAATAAATTTCAGGTATACAGAATCGCACTATTTAATGTTTTTGTAAGTTTTCCAAGTATCCTGGTAGTGAGTGTAGGTTATTTTCATAATTGGAGTGGAAACACTCCAAGAACTGAAACATTACAAGTAAAATTAAATGGCTGAGTCCTTTCTTAAAAATAAAAATGCACACATTTCTATGTACACATATACCTCCCCCCATTTTCCTTGGGAACTTCCAGCCACACAGTTCCCAAAATGGAAGGGGTCTAGTTTAGCAGCTAAGAGCACGGGCTCTGGAATTCGACTTTCTTCCAACTTTCCTGAGGGCGGTAACTGCTAGGAAGTCAGTTCACCTAGCTGCCTCTCCGCTTCCTCAACTGTAACACGGGGCTAGAACACCTGCCTGGCAGGATTACTACAAGGATTCCACCACATGAGGTACGCGAGGGGCTTGGAACAGAGACTGGCACATAGCCTCGCATAAATAACAGTTGCTATTAAGACGGAGGAGATGGTTTGTGTCATTACTGTCGTTACTGACATTGGCTCTCTCTAGACGGACAAACAGGCGCTCTCACTTGTTCCCACATACAAGACCAGTCCCAAACGGGACATCTGAGGTCAACAAGCGCCCCCAACTTCTCCGACGCTGATAAGGAGAGTTCCTCACACAAACGTAGCGCTTCAATGACCAAAGCGCTTTACAGCCTGCGCGTCCAGCCGGGAGGTGTCGGCAGCCCAGCCCCAGACCACCTCCTCCCACTCCCCAGCCACCTGGACTACCCGGCCCCGAGTCCCGAGCCCCCGCACCCCGCCGGCCTCCTCCCTGGAAGCCCCGAACCAAGCCCACCGCCACCGCCACCCTCACCGCCGCCACAGCCGCAGAGAAGCCACGCCTACTGGCCCGGAATACTCCTTCCGTGCGAGGCGGTCCCGCCTGCCCGAGAGCACTTCCGGGTCAAGCTTCCGCTCGGGCCCGAGCAAGCTGAGCTACCAGTCTGGTAAGTGAGGGTTCTGTCGGGGTCGTGCGGAAAGGTACTGGGGCTGCTGAGACATGGGTTTGAGCCGATGGGTCGGGTTTCGACGTGAAGGGGGCTAGGATATCCCAGGTCCTTTTTGAAGGCCAGGGCTGAGCTGCATTTCAGCCGTCGTCCGTTTCCTGAGCGTCAGCTACCTGCCAGGCGCTACCCTGGGAGCCTGGGACACACGGGTTACAAGCTGACACTGGCCCTGCTCCCAAGTAGTTGACATTCTGGGGCGAGGCCGACTGTAAACAAGTAAGCAAGCAAACAGTGTTATCTGAAATGGGGGTGGGGGAGATGGTTGTGCGTACTGTAAAGAAAATTAAACAGCATAATGTAATTGAACAAAGTGAGGGAGTAATCCTTATGAAGATCTTGAGGAGAGCATTCGAGGGGGGAGGAATAGCAAGTGCAAAGGCCTTATAGTGGTAACAAACTTAGCAAGGTCAAGGAAAAGAAAAAAGGCCACTGTTACTGGTGCAAAAAGAGGAAGGAAGATGAGGCCAGAGGCTTAAATGGGCCAAATCTTGTGTCTATGAGTCAGGACAAGGAGTTGGACTTTTATTTGGAGAGCAATGGAAACCATTGAAGGTTTCTATGCTGAAGAGTGGTGTGCTCTGATTTATGACTTTAAGATTGACCTTCATTAGAAAAATGCATCTCTTCAATTGTCTTTTAGCAGTGAAAATGCATGAAACCCAGGCTGAAAGCCAGAAAGAGGCATTACAGACAGCTTCATTGTACAGATGTGAAAAACTAAGTCCCAGAGAGGTGTAGGGATTTGGTCTTTTAAGAACCGAGGTCTTCCAACCCCATCTGTTGCCTTCAGAATTATCATCTCAATGTCCATATATAATAATTGTCACTTCCTAAAACCCTTCAGATAGTTTGCTTTTTATAGTGGTTCTCCATACTTAAGGGCATCACTGTCACCTGGTAGCTTGTTAAAAATGCCTATTCTAAAAACAAAAAAATCTGTATAAGTATAAAATAAGTAATTTCCTCTGGTTTTCTGTGGTGATGGAAATTGCATAGAATTTGTGGTTTAATTATGGGATCTCTGGTAAATCACTTAACCGTGTCTTAATCTTACATTTAAAATGCTGCTGATAATTATAGCAGCAGTTTTCAAACATTTTGGTCTCAGGATCCCATTACACTTGTAAAACTTACTGAGAACACCAAGGAGTTTGTGTGTGTGACTTATATCTATCAATGTTTACCATTTTAGGTATCAAAACAACTTTCAAAAATTTATTTAAGATAATAAATTCATTATGTGTTAACATAAGTAGCATTTCTATGACGAATATTTTACAAAACAAAAAACTTAAGAATGGCATTGTTTGGGGCGCCTGGGTGGCACAGTCAGTTAAGAGTCTGACTCTTGATTTCAGCTCAAGTCATGATCTCAGTGTCATGAATCAAGCCCCACGTCGGTCTCCGCACTGGGTGTGGAGTGTGCTTAAGATTCTCTCCATCTCCCTCTGCCCTTCCCCGACCTCCCCCCGACTCTTTCTTTCTCTTTCTCTTCCCACCCTCCCCTCCCTCTCAAAAAAAAAAAAAATATTTTTACAAGTCTTTTTAATATCTGGATTAATAGAAGATAGCTAGATTCTCATATCTCCTGCATTCATTCTCTGGTGATAACGCTCATCATGTAACATCTGGAAAATTGCACCATACTGTGTGAGAATGAGAATGTAAAGGCAAATAAGATCCTATTATTATTATGAAAATCATTTTGAAAAAGTCCCAGGGACCCCAGAGGCCCCAATACCACACTTCGAGAATCACTGGATTGCAATATTGTTATGACAACCAAAGGAAATACGGGCTCAATTTTTAGGTCATTAAAACTATACGCACATTAAAAAGCAGATGCTCAGGCCTTGCCCTTAGAGATGCCAATTCAGTAAGTCTGTGTGGGGCTGAGAAATACTCATCTTTAACAAGCACCACAGATTAATTTGATATAAGTTCTCAAAAATTGCAATTTGAGAAAACCAGTTACAGATCAAATTCACTCTAGAGTGTTTTCCCCACTAAAATTTTAAAAGCTCAATTTCCATATCTTCAAAAACCTCCATTACACTTTCCAGAGACTGAGACTCTGGAAAGTCAGCAAGAAGTTTGTAGCAAGTACCTTTCTAACGGCCAGGTTGATGAGGATCTGAATTCAAATTGTTGAATCCAGTCCTATGCCAAAGACTGAGAAAGTTTTTAGACTGTGATCTGTAGCTTACAGTCTTTTGGACAAATAGATAACTGATAGAAGAAGGAAACTGTTAAGTCTTACAATTGAGTACTCTCAGTGTGCTAGGCGACTGACAGAGCAAAAGAAATTCATCCAAAATGAAGAGGATAAAGGTTGAGAGGACTTCTTGAATAAGGTGAAATTCGAGTTGGATACTATAGAGAGGGTGGAATTTCTACAGGAAGATATATTGGTGGGGAGGAGCGGGAAGTTTCAAGCAAAAGGGACAACTAAAACCAGAACTTTAAGGTAAAAAGTTACTTGGAGAGATTAGAGTGAAACAAGTGTAGTTAAGGCCTTGAGCCATGACAGGAAGCTGGGAAGATTATCAAATTAAGCAAAGAAGGGAATGATAACGATAGTCAGCCTCCAGATGAGGAAACAGACCACTACAGATCATAGCTAATTGGTGACAGAGGTGTAACTGAAGATCAAACTTCTAGATCCATTCATTCCTTCAGCAAGCAATTATTCTGCACACAGATACTACTGGGCTTCCTCCGGCTGTTTCTGTTCTGCCACCTGAATCTTTCTGAAAATTATGGATACCTGACCAAAATTTGAAGCTTATCTCTTAGGCGGTGGAAAATCAATAGATTTTTAAATCATAATGACTTTCTTGGATTTGTGTTTAGGACTAGTTCTGAGAAGAGCAGTGTTTGGGGTATAGTTGGAGTTAATGAGACCCATTTAGAGATTAGAAGAATAGTATGGTGCCCAGGTAAGGTAAAAGGACTGTGACCTAGGGTGGGGACACAGTATGATTTAATTGAAAAACATCTAGGAAGTGGAATAATAATAACAACAGCATGTATTTATAATATACCCACATTAGTTCATCTAATGCTCATAACTACCCTATGAGGTCGTTACTGTTAATTACCTTATTCAGTAGATGTGAAAACTAAGGCCTCACAATCCCATGGCTTCGTGCAGGGATAGGATCAGGCACTTCAGTCCATGCTACTAAACAAGAAGCCATGATGATCTTGTAACTTTGATCTTGCAAAACTGAAAGAATTATATTTTGTGGCTATCATGCAAGATATGTATATACTTGACAAATAGGTCTGAGGGTAAGAATGAGAAGTTCTGTTTTAGTTATACTGAGTTTAATTTTTTAGACTGCAGAGAAAAAAAAGTGGGTAAGGAGATCGTAAATCTAGGCCCATTACATGCTACATCCAGTAGGTATTCTTTGTCATTTGCATCCAGTAGCTTCAGCAAATGCTTATGGCAAGAGGGTATAAGCCACAGTTATAGGAAATAATCCTGAGTTTAAAACAAAGCTCCAGTAAATACAGAAGAAGGTGTTTTTCAGTGCACCAGAAAATATGTTGAAGTTTCAGCTGAGTGCCCAAATGCCAGATATGAAGTGTGCGATGGCTCCAAGATATGACTGGGAGCGTAAGGGCTATTTTAATTAGGATCTTTTCAGAAAATGATCCTCAAAATGGTGATTTCTGTTGGAGTATTACTAACCTTTTTATGGTTCAGATCTCTATAATAATGCTTGAGTATGAGCAGAACAATTTTATGTTTGTTCTTTTCAAAGAATAGGGGAGTAGGAACAATCTGCTCTTCATTGCTTTTTCTCCCCCTTGCCAATTCGGAATGCCACTTTGACCATTTGTGTACCTGGCATGGGGGATCTTCTCCATTTTCCAAGTGTAACAGTGCAGGCAGAGAAGAGTAGATGAGCTGTAAATACAACCTAGGCCACATTTAATTATGGAGAATAAAGCATTAATATCCCAGTATACTTGAAACCAATACCATCTGGGCATCAGTGTTTTTCCCCACTTTGTGTTATCCCAGGACTATTTCTGCAAACAGCAGTTTCCTCAGCCAACTTAATATTGAGCCATGAGAATGGAAATCAGCACATTACTTCCTTATTTACTTCTGTTGAGAATTGGAGCAGAATGGAAATATTTCTTCTCCCTGAAGTTGGCAGGAACAGCAGCAAGGCAATCTGTTAGGGATGACAGCTTAGGGGCTTTTCTTTGTTCTTTGTTTCTTTCTTTATTTTTTTATGATATAGCCAATATTTAGAATGGTTCTGTTGGGTAAAATCATCTACATTTCTGATTATTCATGATCCTAGAAGAGCTTATATTTTATTGTACCTAAAAGATGAAAAAGGAGCTGGATTAAATTTGAGCATCACTTTTCTGTGGTGGCTAAAGAAAGGTAATAAAACTTTCTACCAAGTAACTTCACCCACAAGCATAGCATAGCCCTTTTTAACTGTTTGTAGGAAGGTGGCACTTTGATTTTCCTTTTTGAACTCTTTCCTCTTAGCCTCAGATGTCAACTGCAGCATTAAGAAATAGCTGGCTCAGCAGCAGTTTAAGAGTGTTCATAGTATTTTTCTAAACCCTGTCTTGTAGGTTTCTCTAAACTTCTAATAGAGGCAAATGGTTGTGTCTGTACAGAATAGGAACCACAAATCTTGACCACGTGAGTAGTTTGTGCGCCACACTCTGGTGCCTAAGGAGGAGAGGCAGTGGAAATCCATGATGAGGATTGCCTGGTAGCCACAGCCACAATTCAGTCACTTTTGCTGAACTTAATCTTTTTACTCCTACCTAACCATTTCTCCATTTCCTTTCTTGTTTTTACATTTAGTCTTAATTTTTGTGGTTTTAATTTTGAATGAAATTGTATAAAGATGTTTATTTCTTTGAAAAGAAAAAGTCATACTGGAAGGAGGAAGTAGAATTCTGTCAGGAGCCAGAGCAACACTTGAGTGAGCCTCTTTCTCTTCCCCTCTGCTCCCCTCCCACTCCCCCCTCCACTTTCCCCTCTCCTCTCTTCTTTTTCACCACTCTCTTTCTCTTCTCCATCCCTGTGCTCCTGTCTCTCTGCTTCTCTTTGTATGTGGCCCAAACCTGACTGCCTCAACCCTTTCTCTTTCTCGAATGGCCCTAACCCACCATGTCTCAAATCTAAATTCCAAGATCAAAGCTTCTGATTAGTTTAGTTGGGCAAAGGGTTGACTTCTATCTTGGGCCCCAGAACATAGAGGCAGATCTCAAAAAAGGGAAAGGTAAGCTAGGCACATCACAACAAAGATTATTTACCACAAATTCAGAATGCACTAGAACAATGTAACATATCATGGTTGGACTCCCAAGTTCAGTTTACAATGCCTGTTTGATCCATATTATTACTTATTGACAATGAGCAAAAGGAAAATGTGAAATTTAAAATTACAGATTGAAATTATAGTGTTTCCCCTCTCCCCTCCAAGATTTTTAAATGGTTGCATAGTATTCTGAGTAAAGGTGTTCCATTTATCTTAAATAATGGTTTTATTATCAGATGTAGATTTTAGCACAGTATCTAAAAGAACAATCAGCAGTAATAACTAGAGGTTATTCAGTGGTTACTACGGCCAGGCCCTGTGTTTTATACAATTTCCTTCAAGCGTCACAACAGTCCTATAGAACAAGTAACTGTTAATTTCCCTATTCTAAAGATGAGGGGACTGAGGCACAGGGAGATTAAGTCATTTACAAAAGTTGCAAGGCTCGTTAGAGTCCCATCAAAATTCAAATCCAGGAAGTCTGACTCCCGAGACTGTACTCCAACTCTCTCTGCTACCCTACCTTTCTCAGAGGCCTACAGTTCCGCTGATCCAGGGTATCTAAGTCCGAATGGAATGTGAGTGATAGTTCTCTCTTCTTGGAAGTGCTCAAACAGTCTGCAGTGCTGGTGTAAAGGAAATGAGGAGCTATAGTCATAGTCTCTGGATGCCAATCCACGGACCCTCGGCCTCAGAATCATCCAGGGAGCTAATTACATATCATAAATTCCAAAGTCCAAGTCCAGAGGTTCTTCACGAGGGCTGGGGTGGGACCCAGGAATCTGTATTTTTAACAAGCTGTCTGGATATTAGTAGTCAGCCTGGGCTTGGTAATCTTTTTATACCCACTGTGATATTCTAGGACATGGTGATTGAAGATTTTGGGAGTTGGGGTTGACTCAAGGACTGCATTAGGCATTATGCCTCTTAAGTTCTCTGGAGATCTTTAGCACTGGCTGTCTCAATATAATAAGTGCTAGTAAATGCATGTCAGTTCGAATAATTACAGTCCCTATTGCATAACATTCCTCAGTTTACAAAGATATATCACATGCTTTATCAAATTTAAACTAACTTCCATGAGTAAATATTTATTGAACATGGGCTAGTTGTGAAGTATAGCAACAAAAAATATAGTCCCTGTGCTTCAGGAACTCCTAGGTCAGAGGGGTGGACTGCCTACCAGTACAGAGAGGCACATACCAGAGCCAGTGAGTAGTGTAATGGTGACGGCTACAGGAGTTCGGGGAAAAACCAGCTTGCGTCCAGATATACTCTGGACTACATGTGAGGGAGAGCCAGGACTTGAGAGGAGACTCAGGGAAGCTGCATGAAGCAACTCCACACAGCAGCTACACTGCCAGGACCCGGCTTGCCCCACAACCCTCTCATGTGGAGGCTGTTTATTCTTTGAAAGCTCCTGCATCTCAGGGAGGGAGAGTCTGGTTTTTTTTGTTTTTGTTTTTGTTTTCCTATTTCCAGGGTCGTCTCCTCTAGCTGCCTTGAGGGGGACATTCCCTTTCCTACAGGTGGTCTATCCCACTCTTGACCCTCCACATTCTTGGACCTCTTCTTGTTGGACAACTGTCTCCTACACTCACTTTGGCCTCCCACTCCAGTTCCCAAAGTCCACCTCCAGATGTGCTGTTGGCCCAGACTGCTCCCCTCCAGAATCAGGAATCAGACCCAGCACTCTGGCCACCTCTTCTCATTACCACAACTTGTAGCTCTTTTTCCTGAACACCTCCTAACCAGTGATCCCTCTACTTTTTCCTCTGTCCATTTACTACAACACTTCTCTTCCATTCTCAATTCCTATTTATCCCTCAAGTACTGTTGCACACCTCACTTTCTCAAGGTGGCTCTCTGTGACACATTTAGCTCCCCACATTGGGTACTACCATAGCATCCTGTACTTTACCTTGGGCAGCATTTACCATATTTTGCATATGTTTAGTTAGTGTCTGTGTCTTTTGCCAGACTTAGCTCCATGAAGGCAGAGATGGTGTCCTTATACAATAGGTTGGCACATAGAAAGTGCTCAGCAGATACAGGTGAATAGATGAAAATGTATACCTCTAGTCTAAAATTGTGGTTCTGGGGTTCCTGGGTGGCTCAGTCAGTTAAGCATCCAAGTCTTGATTTCAGCTCAGGTCATGATCTCAGGGTCGTGAGATTGAGCCCAGCTTCAGGCTGAATGTGGAGCCTGCTTGAGATTCTCTCTCCCTGTCCCTCTGCCCTCCCCTGCTTGCATGTGTGCTCTCTCTAAAATGGAATGAAATGAAATAATAAAATTGTGGCTCTGACTCGGTGGAATAGGTAGGGAAGAAAAAGATGATGGCAGGATAAGAAATGAGGTGGTATTAGAATAAAGTAGAGTTGTGGGTGACTTATTTGTTTTATTTTTGTTTTCCTGACAGAGAGGGGCCTCCAGCTCAGAGCCTTTAGCAAATAGCAGTTAATAATAACTGCTTTGTTTTCATCGTATTTCTGTGTACAGTTACTTTTATTTACAGAGGTAATATAGACTTTTCTTTTGAAATAAATGTATGAAAGTAAAATGAGTTGACTTAAAAAGCAAAAAAAAAAAAAAAAAAAAAAAACTCATGCCAATAGAAGAATTGAGTAAAATTGGGAAAATGCTGACTTGGATAAGCCACAGGAACTCATTATCGAAATCCTAGGGAAGGCCTAGAGCACTTTTTCAGCACAGTCATTTCCTCTCACGATTGGGAAGCAGTAGTCTAGAATAAAGGAGAAAAGTTTTGTCCACCAATTATATATATTGTACTGAAAAAGAACTTGGGAGCTTACACATGTCAAGCTCCAAGCATGGTGCCTGGGTTATGGCAGTCACTTACTAAGTGTTCTTTCCATTGTTTGCACTCACCACTCTTGCCCAGTAGAGACCAGGATTCTCCTACTAACATAAAGTTTAATTTAAAGGAGCAAGTCACTGTAGAGTGAATGAGTTAGATCATTTTTGAAATCCCCTCCAATGCCCAATTTCTTTGTTTCCTATAGTGTCAGTTTAATTGGGTTTGGGGAAGAAATAGAAATAAACACATGTGGGGCTCCTGGGTGGCTCATTTGGTTAAGCGACTGCCTTTGGCTCAGGTTATGATCCCAGAGTCCTGGGATCGAGTCCCACATCGGGCTCCCCCTTCTCTGTGGGGAGCCTGCTTCTCCCTCTGCCTCTGCCTGCCACTCCCCCTGCTTGTGCTCACTCTGTCTCTCTCTCTCTCTCTATGTCAAATACATAAATAAAATCTTTAAAAAAAAATAAACACGTGTTCAATCTACTATGTATAACAAAGTCTGAAGTCTTTTGTTTTACTCTAAATAGTCCATTCTTATATTTTAAAGATACAGCAAGATATAGAAAATTATTATCTTTCAACCATCCTTTCAAGGGCTAATGAAAATTAAATGACATATACAGCTTACTGTGATTCAGACTCTGAGGGGTTTAATGACTGAATACAATGATCCATTGCTTTTTATGTTCTGTGATCAAGCAGCCTTCGCCTAAGTACAAAGGAGAGTCATTTCCAAAACTAATTATTTTGGGCCTTTATAGGAAATAAAGCAAGGCATTTCATCCTGTCTTTTATAGAAAAGGAAGTTGAAATTTTTCTTTGAGAGTCATTGATTTAAAAGAGGAATCAAATTACCAGGAAGATGATCATAATCACATACACTCTTAGGCTGGGATATTTTGTTCTTTGTTCGTGGTATTTTATTTGTCCAGCACTCTTTCCCTGTAGTTTATATTTGCATTTCTACTAACTAGACGTTGAAGATGTCAATTCCTCCCTGAGCTGGTTTTGCAGACTTTGAGCTAAAATTTGGTATTTTCATGAATTGTTAAATATACTGTATTTTGTCTCTTGATACTAAAAAAACTGTTAAAGGAAAATTCTTTTGTCTAACATTCTTGCCCAAGAGGGAGGTTCTAACTTCTCAGGAGTCAGTAACTGTTTATGTGTATGTAGTAATGCAGTTTTCTTTCTGATATTAAAACAAACAGAAAACTGCCTTAAGTATCCCTGCATTATTTAAAGCTAATATATTATGTACTTGGATTGCTCAAATTTTGAGCTTCATGGTTATGATCATGATGTATCAGTTGATTTACAGGTGCAGGTTGAAATAAAAGATCATTAAGCTAAATATTTTAGCCTTCACTGGCTCCCTGTTGCATAAGATTTGTCAGAGTAAAATAGAATCCTAGTCTTTCAGAACTAGAAGACTCTGTAGAGAGATCTCATCTAGTCTCTCATTTGACAGATGAGAAAAATGGCCAAGGGAGGATGCTACTTGCCAAGGTCTTACAGCTTGTTAGTAGCACAGCCAGGACCAGAATCTAGGTCTGCCTGCCATTTCCTAATTCAGTGCTCGTTCTGCTGTCTTTGTGTGAGATTTTTAGGTGGTGGCCTTTCTGTTTTGCTCCCTGATGTCAGCGCCAGTTATTCTAATCAATTTCACATCTGTTCATTTCTAGAACATAAGAGTTTCACCCCATTATGAGTCTTTGTTGGTTAAACTTTATATCTGGCTTTCTTTTAGGTTGGTCTCCACACACATCTTTTAATCTTGAAGATTTCAAAATACGCCTGAATCTCCCACTTTTTTGGAAAACTCCCAGTACCAAGCAATAAATTACCCACCGTGCTCTTGTTATAGCATAGAAGCTCCTGAGTTCTCCAGATCTAAACAAGACTTCCTTCTGTTTTTCCATGAAGCCACATTGTTGCCTGTTCACTTTAGTGGTGAGTGTTACTGTTCCAGCTGCTTTTGTTTTGGAAGATGTAGGCTTCACCCAAATGGCCCCACTGGGAACAGATCGTAGTTCCTTCAATTCATCATTTCCTCCAAGCTTTGAGCTCTCAGGTTCCCACTCAGGGGACGATGTCATCATAGCCAAAGAGGGAACTAGTGTTTCACTCGAGTGTCTTCTCACAGTCGACCACTATGAAGATGTCCATTGGTACAACTCAAAAGGACAGCACCTGGATGGCAGAGGCAGAGGTAACTATACCAGCGTATAATTAATCAAGGTCACTCATTTCCTGTTACTTCTGTCTCCTTGGTTTGATGGCATATGCATGTGATCTTGAAGATCCCATCCCATCTCAGTGATCAGGTGCCAGGGGGAATATTTAAAACTTTTGAAAGGCCTGGAGTGTTAGAACTATGAGAAAAAGCAAAATAGTTACAATTACTTAACCAGAAGAAAGAAAGAAAGAAAGAGTAGTTATAAATTTAAAAGATGTTCACATGATGACAGGGAGCGATCGTCTCTCCTGTTGGTGAGCTGGTTTCCTTCTTCACTGAAGGTAGATGACATCAGGGCTGCTGCAGACAGCTAGCCCTGTTCACCTAGACTATAATATGAATAATACAGCGTGATGGCCCTTTGTAAATACAGGAGGAAGGGTTGTGGCTAGACATATGTAAATTTGTCATAAATTTAAAAATTTTTTTAAAGATTTTTTTATTTATTTTTTAACAGAGAGAGAGACAGCGAGAGAGGGAACACAAGCAGGGAGAGTGGGAGAGGGAGAAGCAGGCTTCCCGCTGAGCAGGGAGCCTGATGTGGGACTCGAGCCCAGGACCCTGGGATCATGACCTGAGCCGAAGGCAGACGCTCAATGACTGAGCCACCCAGGCACCCCTTAAATTTAAAAATTTTGTTTGGAAATGAGTCACTAAAAATTTTAGAGGAAATCCAGGACGGTTTTTAAAAGATTATAGCTCTGTGCATAAAACTTTTAAGTCCCTCTGAGAATTAGAAGGGCACTGAGAAAGAGCTCTATAAGCCCTTCCAGCTCAATTTTTTTCTGTGTTACACCTTAATTTACTTGAAAACAGGAGAGCTTCTCTTGTACCTTTGCCTCTCCGTCTTAAAAATCACCCAGACATAATAATGCAACCAAGATCCCCTTTTCGACAGTTTTTTATTTGATTTTGCTGTTTGTGAACCTGTGAACACATCTTAATCAGAATATTATTTCCCTAACTAGTATTCTGCCAGAAAGATCTTTTTGAAGACTACTTGTATTAAAGTACCTCAAAAAGAAATCACCATGAAAAATCAATGGGATAAAGATTAAATGCTGGGATACTCATAAGCTACACTTTCAGAAAAGGCCCTTCTTGTCTTTTTTGCTAGAAAGATAGTCTAACCTCTTGGAATAGAAAGGATATTTGGTTATTCATATTAGAATGGAAAACAGAAAAGGAGACAGATGGTGTTTTCTTCTAAAGTATACGTGAAACATTCTAACTTTGTAAAACTGAGTAACTGGCCACCAGGAGATTGAAGAGTTTAAACTGTTAGAAAGAACAGAATATTTTTAATCATCTTCTTAAGAATGTAGATCTTTTGAGTCGGGATCTCTAGAGTAGTGCCCAGAATGTATATTTTGAACATGATTTAGGGTTTCACATTTGGATGCAGTGATCTAGATTCCTATTTCCTTTGGGCTCTAGGATCCTAACCGGACACATCTGAGAGCTGAATTATTCAGTCGGTGTGATCGTACAGACTGACCGCATCAACAAAGCTTAGGTTAGGATGGGACCAACCAAGTGGGATGGCAGTTTCATTTTCCTTTTTGCTTTCACTTTGAAAAACCACTAACATCTATCATTGATGCTTTCAGTAGCGGCTCTGGAAAATTGTATTAAATTTTATGAATCTCCAGTGAGAGGAGTTTAAAGAGCCTGTCAGTTTAGCGTAAGGTTCATAAATCTTGAGCTATTATCAGCAAGTAAGCTAGAGAGTTTACATTGTGGTCGTAGTACAGTGGTTGATGAATGGAGTGTATGTACTTCACCATACTTTGGATTCATAGGATAGCCTTTTCATAGCTCCAGATTCATAGAACAGAAGCTTGTGGAATAATGAATATATTCCATAGCTATATATTTTCCTCTTTTTTTTTTTACATTGGTGAAGTGATGTCTTTTAAAAATAACTGTAGCATTTAAATTTTGATGACGATAAAATGGGCATAATCCAGAGTGCTTACTAATTGAGTACCACTAAGATAATCCAGAACTATAGAATCTCAGGGATGAAAGAGACCTTGAAGATCTCTTAACTTCAAGATCTTAAGATAAGGCACTCAGGTGGTGCTTAAGAAGCAGTACCCCAGCCTCCTCCAGGACAGTGCCTCTAGTCATTGGGACTCACACCTACACCGCAGGTTAGCCCGTCCATCCCATCTTTGAATGGCTTTTGTAGTTAAAGTACAGGATACACTGAGAATTGACCACAAACAGAATTGTGTGGGCAGAGCCAAGTTACTAAAGGGTGTTGAATCAAGGTGGATAGTCCATAGGCTTTTCTTTTCATACTCTTAGATACTTTTGTGTACGTGTTCCCTGAATGAAGATACCTTCGTATATGGAAGACAGGCAGCATGGCTTAGGTTTAAAACAGAACCCAAAGATCCTTTAGGCATCTTAAGGGCAACTTTATTCTCTTTACCAAGCAGTTTGTTTACCCTGACTTGTGACACATATCTTTTGGCTTGTGCTTCAGTTACTCTTGCCAGAAAATCGGGATATCATCAATAAACCTTTTCTAACAAAACAAATTAAGTGTGCAAGCCATGCCAGATTAACCAGTTAGTAGTTGAACAATGCACTAAATTGGTGGGGTGGGTTGTTTGTTTTTTTTTAACTTGTCTCTTGTTATCAAAAGTAAATAAATACAGTTATATAAAAAGAAGAAAATGTAAATCACTCAACACATTACCCCAGAAATAACCATTGTTTGGTATTTCTGAGGCATTTCCTTCTAGTGTATGAAAATGTATAGGTTAGAGATTGTGGTGTACACACACACAAACACACTTCTTTTTTTTCTTTTTTAAGATTGGTCATTTAGCATTATATAGTCATACCTATCTCCCTGAAAGGCTTGTTATATCTAGCCTCGAAATGTAGCTATGGTAATCATTCACGTCAGGAAGAAAGATCTTGATTCCCTTTTTAACTTCCAGGCTGTTTAAATTCCTACTCTGGACATAAAAGTCCTTTCTTACATGATTTAAACAAGTAGCAGAACCTAAGAGATGAGGTAAAGCACTCCATCATGAAGAGGTGGCATATTTATGGTAAGACAGTTGGCTTTTTCAGTAATAATATTCTTTATGCTCTATTTTTTTATTTCTGTTGGGTTATCAGGTGGAAAATGGTTGGTTTCTGATAACTTCCTGAATATCACCAGTGTAGTCTTTGATGACCGAGGGCTCTATACATGTTTCGTCAGCTCTCCAGTTCATGCCTCCTACTCTGTCACCCTGCGTGTTATCTTCACCTCAGGAGACATGAGTGTCTACTACATGATTGTTTGCCTGATTGCCTTTACAATCACCCTCATCTTGAATGTCACACGGCTGTGCATGATGAGCAGCCATCTTCGTAAGACTGAGAAGGCTATCAATGAATTCTTCAGAACTGAAGGGGCTGAGAAACTTCAAAAGGCCTTTGAGATTGCAAAGCGCATCCCCATCATCACCTCAGCCAAGACTCTGGAGCTGGCCAAAGTCACACAATTTAAGACCATGGAGTTTGCTCGTTATATTGAAGAATTGGCGAGAAGTGTCCCTCTTCCGCCCCTTATTCTAAACTGTCGAGCCTTTGTTGAGGAGATGTTTGAGGCTGTGCGAGTGGACGACCCTGATGACATGGGAGAAAGAATTAAAGAGAGACCAGCCCTGAATGGTCAAGGTGGCATCTATGTCATTAACCCAGAGATGGGCCGGAGTAATTCACCGGGAGGAGATTCGGATGATGGTTCTCTGAATGAACAAGGCCAGGAGATAGCAGTTCAGGTTTCTGTCCACCTTCAGTCAGAAACCAAAAGTATTGATACAGATTCTCAAGACAGCAGTCATTTTAGCCCACCTGATGATATTGGATCTGCCGAATCAAACTCTTACTCCAAAGATGGGACATTGGAAAGCCGTCAGTTGTGAGCTATGCCGGTACCTTAAAAAAAAAAAAAAAAAAAAAAAAGCTCTCACAAAAGGAACCTGTTTCATGCAGGAAATAACATTTTTACCAAAAGATAACTGGGGGTTTCCCCCTTGTTAATATTAAGCACATCAGAATGTGAATTATTGCCAAAATCTTTGTAAAAATTCAGTGTTTTTCATACCTGATATTTCTCAGCTTGATTAAATGACACCTATTAAGATTTAAAGGAGTTTGAGAGGTAAGCATAATGGACAAAGTACCACACTTAGAGTTCCATGGCTTCTCTTCTGGTCGTGGTTCTTCCAATGGTTAGGACTGACACCCTGAGGCCTCAGTTTTCCCACCAGTAAAATGGGGGATTTGCATTAGATGATATCTAAAGTCATTTCTAGCCCTGTAACTTACCTGTCCCCTTTAAACCACCAGAATCATTAGCACATCTTGAAGTAAACCCTTCCCTAGACTTTTAAGTCCCTTTTCATGGAAAGGATAAAGCTGAAACTTTATTTTGTGATTTAGATTCCCATACTAATGCCATAGTGCATAGAGGTTTGGGTGTTTCTCAGATGTTTTGCCATGTGGAACGTGCAATTATATGTGCTAGGTTGGGTCTCTTTGGTGTAGCCAATGTCTGTATTGTTATACAGATATCAGGGAGCTAACTGCTCATTAATAAAATACTTTCCGTGAGTAAATTGGTCCTTTTGGGGGATAGATCATGTCTTTTTAACTTACTGGAGTATCATTTAGTTCATTGAGCTTGGCAGTGATTTCCCAACTGATCTCCAAAAGTGAGCAATTTGTTCTTAAGGAATAATGTTGAAGACATTATTGAAGACACTGAAGGTGCTTCTAGAATAAGAAACAATGTCAAATCATCTCTCTCTGGCAAATCATGGATTTTTGACATTTCTGTTAATAGAATTTCTCAGGCTTTCCCTTTTTGAAAGTACTGGACTCTGTAAGAGGGTTCTGTGTTTGGGATCCCGTTCCAGGGGGAAACTCAGAGCTGGGTTCGTCTTTAGATTTCTATCAACACTCTTGCCCTCCTTGGTTGTTAATATGGTGCTAAAGGCTGCATGCCTCCTTATCTGGTTTATTTTGTTTATATTTTGTTGTTGAGGTTTTTATTTTTGTGTACTTCAGATATAGAATGCTGAGCTAGGGCTGCTTTTGTGGTCTTCCTTAGAAGCACTAACCTGAAATAAGATTAGATAATGGTGTGTGGTATATACGAATATATTAAATACATAGGCACAGAGACAGGTACCAGTACGTAGATACTTATACACACAAATGATATAGAGACAAAGAGGGAGAGAAATTATGGATGATGCCACCTGATTCAGCTGTGTACAATGAACACTTGAGACAGTATTTCTTGCCTGGCTGAGGCCTGATACAGAATTGTAAATACTCTTCAGAATAATTTCTTCAGCTACCAGAAGCTTGGTGTCATACGATTTTTAAGAACTTGGCAGTTGATCTCCATTTGGTGCTTCATGTTTCTTCATTTGGCTTCTGATTATTGAAGCATTACTTGAACTAGAGGCTCCTGAGGGAAATGTTCAGAAGGGGCTTTACCAGGATTTTAATTTAAGGTTTCAAATGGAGAAAGGCAAGAAAATGGAGCGCATAACCAGATAGAGCTCACACCTCCCTTTGTCCAGACTCACCACAAGTAATACGTCTCTTCTGGATCGCATGAATGAATCGGTGTGCACTCTTATCAGATGGCTTTATGGATAAAGAGGATAATGCTGCCTTTTCTGTCTCTCAGGCTGTTTCCATGGCAACCTCCAGAGCCAAACAAAAGCTACCCATCATTTAACCAAAGCTTGCCTCGGCTCATGGACCTGCATGGCTTTAAGGAATAATGTTTTCATACAGTTGGCTATGAGAGCAAGGGCTCTTGCTCTCTTCACCATACCCTAGATTATAGAACACTTTTTCCCTTCCCAGGCTGTTTCTCTTGAAAAATTAAAAATGCTAAAAATCCCTTGTCTGAGGTCCGTTTCCTGACCATCCCTCAGATCTTTAGGTAGTACCTCCAACCCGGTCCCAGTGTAGTGAGTTTAGGGTCATTTCTTAGAATAACGTAGCTTCTCACACTAGAGAAAATGGATTTATCCCGCATGTTCTCACGATGGACATGAGTGTTTGGAACCTTAAGGTAGACCTATTTAACGGTCAGAGTCCTGAGAAATGGGACTTTGGAACAAATACAGTAAGTTTACACAATACTGTATAACTGTAGGCTACTCTAGTGTGTCACCTTTAGAAACATAATGGTGACTTAATTTGGCAGCCCAAATAGCTGGATTACTTTGAAGATTCCAGATTATGGTGCCAGTGATTAAAGAATTACATAGTCAAAATTTAATTGGAGTTGGTGTTATTTTCTAAAGCTAGTTTCCTAGAGGAAGAAAACCACACATTATTATTTTCTGTATCTAACCAAATACTCTTCATATATAATTAATAGTCTCATGTTTTTGTAAAATCCTTAACCTTTTGAACTTAAACTACAGTCAAACAGTCTTTTGACAATAACTGTGGTGTATTTAATCTTTTAAAGTTTCACTGGATTTTATAGTTAGTAAAAATGCCTTTACTCAGCAAATGTGTTTAAGAAGTCCTGTCATCTCATTTATAAATTTTGTATTGTGACCTAATGAACCTTATTGTCCTTATGAAATGAAATGGTGGCTTTGTGAAATAAATTTACCAAAAATAGATGTAAACATTTTATAGATTCCTTGCCAGCTGAAACCAGGAGAGGCATCTTTTGAACTGATACCCGACTTGAGTTTTAGGTAGTTTGATAAGCCTATCCTCAAAGTCGCATCTGTTCTGATAGTTAAATTTTTGATTCAGGACCAGTGAGCATTTGTAGTTCTCCCAACTACCTTGATATAAATACCTTAGGAGTTGCTGATCTGAAACAGTTGTGAGAAGGTTCTTGGCTTCTTTGCCTCACTTAACATGCATTTTGAAGTCAAAGCACGCTGCTTTCTGTTTGGTCCACCAGCCTCAGTGAAGCCCTTGGTGCATTCCTCTCCACACCCTGCACGTAGTTTCACCCTTGATCAGACTCTGTCTCGCAGGTCCCAGAGTGCCCAGAGCACAGCCGGCCGTGGGTGCCAGCCTTGTCTCCGCACACCAGCACTTAGAACACAAGTAGACCCTAGCTCCTGAGTCACCAGTAAGAGAACACAATCTTGTCTCATCTACGCAGGGAATTTGGAAAATGCTCAGCTTTATACATAAACCCCTAGGTTCTCAACACATTTCATAAAAGTGAGTATTATTTGGTATGATTCAGATGATGTTTAAATGGTCACCATTTTAATGAATACTTACATTATGATTTTGTCCTTTTTAAAAAAAAGTGATGCTTGAATATATTTATTAAATGTTCAATTGACTATATTTCATTTGTCTGAAATCTTTTATTGAGTATATATTCATTTTTATGTGTGATGGAATTTGATGTCAACGATTTTAAACAGGAGTAAATTTGATTCAACTTGGATTCTTACATAGCTACGCATTTTACTTTTACAAATATTTAATAAGCATCTATGTTTTTGGTACTATGGGCCATACTAAGATGGATGTCTTGCCCACAGTTACCATGAGGATGCAGTTAGCAGACCGAAGTACAGCACTTTTTCACTTCTGAGGTAAAGCATTCCTGGCAAAGGCCTAAAGAGGATTTAGCACATGTTTTGGAAAACACAATTAGTATATAAAGTCTGATGAGATTTGGCATGTGGGAGGGGTACCTGTGGTACAAGCAAATGCCTGCAGTCCCATGGGAGTGAAGGGTGATGATGGAAAAACACAGGAGCTCAAGAGACAGGCAAACGGAACAGGTAACCCTACAACTAATCACCTAAATACCACAGTTGCACTTGGCTGCATGCCATAGAAAACCAGTTGTGGTGGCTTACCCAAATAAGACCTTTATTTTTCTCAAATAACAAGAAGTCCAAAGGAAGCCAGTCCCAGGCTGGTGCAGGGCTCAAGTCCAGCATCAAGAACTCAGGCTGCTTCTAGATTCCTCTCCACCCATAGGATGTGGCTTTCATCCACATGGTCACAAAATGTCCTAGATTGGGTTCCTCCAGGAGTGCCTGAGACAAGGATTCATCGGTAAGTAGTTTATTTGAAAGGTGATCCCAAGAAGATAGGCGAGTAGGGAAGTGAGACAGGGAAAAGGAAGCCAAAGCCAGGGCGCATTAATGAAGGGCTTACTGCTTTGGGCAACTGCTGTTCAGTCCCACTGGGGACCTCAGGGAGCTCTGTCTGCTCCCAGTATACGTAGCTCATGCCTCAAAGGTCTCACCTGAAGGCCAAGGAGCTCAGATGTTTATGCACTGACTCCCACGTGATTGAGGGCTGCCCCCAAGTTCACTAACTCCAGCACTTTCAACCTGCCACACATAGGCTAGCCTGATTCTATAACTGGCAAAGCTCTCTGAGTCACAGGAGCTTTCAGGAGGGAAGCCTGTGTTGAATACAGGAATGGTGAGTGTCGGGGGTCACGGGCGGAACGCTGATAACACCTGCCACTTGAGACAACTGCACCTTCAGCATCATGGCTACGTTCCAGGCAGGGACAAGAGTAGGTCAAAGGGCAAAGACACATAGCTGAGTCTACCTTTTAATCAAGAAGATAGCTTTCCTGAAGGCTCACTTGACTCGTGTCACTCCATTGCCAGAGCTGGATTACATGGCTACCTGCTGTCGCTGTAAGAAAGCCTGGGAAGAGGAGTGTGTGTGTTTTTTAACTGGACACATTACCTTAAAGCGTTCTATTATGAAGGAAGTAGGGATAGAGTGGAAGTTGTAGGCAACTGGTAATGTGCAACAAGGTCATCTTCACATGAATTAACAGGAGCAAAATAGGGCTCTATAGGGGACAAAGTTGCATGTTCCTTGAAGATATTCACATGCACTGACAAAGCAAGAATCAGAAACAATAAATCTTAGTCTAAATCTTGAAGCCGGGACACCTGGGTGGCTCAGTGGGTGAAGCATCTGCCTTCAGCTCGGGTCATGATCTCAGGGTCCTGGGATTGAGTCCAGCATCAGGCTCCTTGCTCAGCGGGGAGCCTGCTGCTCCCTCTGCTTGTGCGCTCTCTCTCTGACAAATAATAATAATAAATCTCGAAGCCATCACTTATGTTGTCTCCAATACACATGGCTCAAATAGCAGACAGATAAGTTCTAGGATCCTGCTGGGACATAATTGTCTTACCTTAAACTAGTTATTCATTAACAGATGTTGATTGACCACCTGCTATATGCCAGGTGCTTCCAGGGGCCAAGGACTCCGCAGTGGTAGTGACTGGTGGGTGGCATCTTTACTCAGGGTCAGAGAACCCTCTCCAAAGAAGGCATTGGGCTGAGACCTAACTGATGAGGGCCCAGACATTCAAAGTTTAGGGGAAGAGGTACTCCAGGCAAAGGAACAAGCAAAGACAAAGCTCCTAGGGGACAAGGTTGGCCTGCTGGAGGAAAGAGAAGAAATAGGCCTGTGTGGCTGGTGAGGTGAGAGGGAGAAGTAGGCAGGGGTCAGAAATCTGGTTAAAAGACTTCAAAGCTTGTTTTGGCTGACCCCAGAAACGCATTTTTTTAATGAAGAAATGCTAGAAGTACCGAATTTGGAAGAGGAGATTTACATATTTAGGGAGGAAAGTTTGATCATTCAATAGCACCATTTTGTCCTGAAGTCATCTGCTGCTAAAGAAACAATTGTGCTAATTTTCTTTAAGGAATTAAACTCCTTCAGTGTTCCTTAAATTCCAGTCATGTTCTTGAGTGTTCATGTTTTCGCTGGAACCTATTGATTAGGAAATATATATGTAAATACACATATGTCACTCCATCTGCCTAGAAGATCTGTGGCTACTGCCAGCGCGTTTATTCTTCCTGACAGTTGGGAACTCTGCTTTGCCTCCTGCTCAGCTGTGCGAAAGGGAGGACTCAAGTGCCCTGAGTGATGACAAATCAGCCTTCGAGGGGCTTCCTTCCGCTAGAAGAGCCACCCCCTGAGAAATAGTTTGTCCCAAAGCAGAAGGGAAGTTCGTCAGTAGAAACTCCCTCTGTGCAGTAGTTTTGCGTGTCAATTTCATTGCTCTTTCAGAAGCCGCCGGCAGACAGTCCGACCCTGCTGAGGCTGCTCCGCTGGAGCCCCGTGACCCCTTGAGCACCACAGGCCATGCCTATTCAGTTTTCCAACAAATGTTTGTTGCACACACACTAGGGACGCTACCACAAGCAAAATCAGAGGTGATCTGTGCTCTTGGGAGCTTAACAACCTTATGGGAAGACAGAGCCTATTCAAATAGTTACACAGAGGGTATATAATTAAAAACTGAGAGGTGTGCTAGAAAACAATTCAGTGAGAGCCTAGAACAAAGATGCCTGATCTAATCAGAGGTCAGAGAAGAATTCCCTAAAGAAGGGACACTTGAAGCAATAGGCACTGCTTGAGGACTTATTATGTTCCTATCCCCGAGCAAGAAACTATGGATTTAAGTCATGGATCCCACTTAGAAGGAATTTATAGATCCATGGGAAAGGTAAGATATTTCTACAGTAAGCCACCTGAAAGAGACAGTGTGTCATCAAGTGCTAAATGGATTAGCACTAGATAATAAATGCAGAAGAGCTAAAGATGAAAAGTCAGTAGTAGCAGAGGATGGGCAATACTTTGTGGTTGGGGGGAGATTTGAGCTAGACACCAGAAAGGTGAAGAAGTCATGGATGGGAAGGACGTGGGTTAATCTGATCATGGAACTCAGGAAACTTCAATAGTGTCCTATCATTGAAGCAGGAAACAAATCCGATTTCTTGACCCTCCAGGATCTGCTCCCAATCTGTCTCCCCAAGTTTATCATTTGAGGACCCTTCCACCCCCTTAGAAATACACTAACATATCCTTCCTTTTATGTTATAGTTATTCTTTCCTTGCCAGTTTGTGACCAGGTTGAGAGATGGCATCGTGTATCAGTCACCTATCCTTGTGGCCCTGAGGGTAACACCTTTCATATAGAAGAGACAGTAAATGTTTGTTTAATTTAATGCAATGGGAGGGGTGAAACTCTCATGTTATGATATATGACCGTGACCATTGGTCAGTTTGGGACTGAGGGGTGAGGGCTTGGGGGGGTGTGCCTGCCCCTTCTCCAACAGCATTCTCTTCTTTGGTGACATCACCCACTTTCAAAGTTTTAAATGCCATTTTCACACTGGTGACTCCCAAATGGATATTTTTGGCTCTAAATGCTTTCTTCCAGACTCGTGGATCTAACACCTCCCTACTTGGCATCTCCACTTGGCCAGCCATCTCTAAAAGGCATCTCAAAATTAATACACCCAAAACAGAATTTTTGATTCCCTGCCCTGATAACAAAAGAATACATCAGTTTCTACCCCCACCATCTTCTCTCCACAAGCAAATGGCACCACCATCTACTCATTTGCTCAAGCCAAAAACCTGTGTCATCCTTGACTGAATTTGCCTCGCTCTTCATATTCAATAGATCAGCAAGTTCTGTTGTCTCACTTCAAAAAAATAGGTATCTATCTGATCCACCCACTACTCTCTACTTCCATTGACACCATCCCAGTCCAAGACACTATCACCTCGTGTGTGTGCTATTTGAGGCCCCTCTGAGCTCCCTGCTTCCACTCTTCTCCCCAGGTTATCCATTCTCCACACTACAACCAGAATGAACTTTCAAAAGCATAAGTCACATCATGTCATCCTCTGCTTATATTCTACAGTGTTTCCCATCATTAGAAGAAAATTGTAGAAGAAAATCCAGACTCTTTCCCGTGGCCCACAGGCCCTGTATGAGGTAGGTCCTTCCTGTGTGTCTTGAGCTCATCACCTACTACTCCAACTCATTACACCCTAGTCATCCTGAGCTCCTTGCCATTCTTCAAACACACCAAGCTTGCTCCCACCTCAAAACCTCTGGTCGTCTTGTTCCATTTGCCTACAGTGATCTTCCCCTACATGGGCCTTTCACTGGCTTCTTCTTGGTGTGCAGATCTCAGCTCATTTGTCCCCATTTCAGAGAGGCCTCCCTGACCACAGCACAGGAGGTGCATCCAGGGCTGAGGTTAGAGTTGGGGCTACCTAACTCTCTTTTGTTATTATCACAGTGTTGGTCACTGTCTGCTTTAGTCCGTTTGGGCTGCTAGAATAGAATACCACAGACTGGGTGGATTAAATGACACACACTTATTTCTCACAGTTCTGGAGCCTCGGAAGTCAGATCAAGGCGCCAACAGACCGAGAACCTGCTTCCTGGCTCACAGAGGGCTTCTCCTCGCTGTGTCCTCACAAGCTGGGAAGGAGTGAGAGATCTTTCTGGGGCCTCTCTTATAAGGGTACTAATTCCATTCATGTG